TTTAGTTACAAATTGCACGTAAGTGTGATTGAGATAGCATGAGATTTCGGCTTCCGGGGGAATAGGAACTTCGGAGCTGATGGAATGGAGTTTCAATCGGAAGTCAAATTATTGTAAAAATTTCTCATAATTAATTTTACCAGTTTGCGGAAAGCAGAAGCAAGGGATCAGCGAAAATGATGAACAGCCTGATGAAAATCCATGGACAGTTGGAGTGTTTTGGGGAAGATACGAGAATCCCGTAATTTTTATTTGTTCCGGCTCTTTAATTTCAGATAAACACGTGCTAGTTTCAGGTGCTTGCGCTCATGAAGTAGTATACGCTCACGAAGTAATGGATGAACACGCAGAAGTTCGCATGGGCGGATATAATGTTGATAACATCAGACGCAACATAACACGTGTCTATAAACATGAAAATTATCAATTTTTCTATGTCAAAAGGATGACCAATGATTTCGATATTGCAATTTTGCAATTAGAAAAAGTTGTTTCGTTTGGATACAATATTCAGCCGATCTGTTTGCCACAATCTTCACGCATTGATTATAGTGAAAAGATAGCCACAGCCATAGGCTTGTATGACACTGGCAGCCTTGTGACCCTGAAACTGTATTCTAGATCGAAAGCACAAAAAACCCATATTCAAATCTGGACGAACGAACAGTGCGGTAAATTGCCTAAGTATGTAAACAAAATAACAGATAACATGGTGTGCGCTGGAGACAAGGCAAGGCTCAGTGAATATATGTTTCACGATGTAAGTTCAGTTTGTAGAAGTGAAACCAAAATACATTATTTTTTTAACCATATTTTTCGTTTCATAGTTCGATTTTGGACATTTGGTCATTGAAAATGAACACGGCAGCATGGAATTAGTTGGAATATACTCATTGTAAGTCAAAAATTCTCAGTCGATCCGGAATTTTTTTCAAGAAATTAATAGCAGAAAAAACTCCTTATCATTTTCAGTGGTGATAGATCCAGTTTTTCATATGGAACGCCAATTGTTTATACTTATGTTGCCGATTTCTTGCCGTGGATTCAAAGCAAAATAACCAATCAATGCACGTATACACCTAAACAAGCAAGTCATGACGAGAATTTGGAACAAACTTGTATCTTCAACCAAGGTTAAAAGTGAAAAATCTAGCAGCAAAATGAATTTCATACTATTTTTCTATCAAGCATAAATATATAAACTACCAAACTTCCTATTTTTAAGTTAGCTCTTTGATCCTCATACTCATTTTTCTTTTAAAAGTTAGCTTATGTTCTCCCGTAGCCATTCAGCTATTTATTTACCAATTTTATAACCAAAAATCTATTAATAAAACTGTTATAATATTTGAGTCTTCTGAAATGGAACTTCATGGAACTGTTCATTTTTTGTTACTATCGTGTAATGTGCATTGCTATCGGCTTCGATTCATAAATTCAAAAAAAATGTGTTGTTTTTTAACCGAAACAAAACCACCAAAAGCTGGCAATAATAATGAAGTAGACTCAATGGTACAGAATATTACACCACAATGGAATACACTCATACAAACACTTACGTATTTGTGTTTGTACACCAAACAATTGTGAACCGGTAAATAGAGACTCAAAAGCCGTGTGTTCTGATGATGTCGAGGGATTTTTTTACGTGTAATGGAACTGAGAATAATATCAATGAAACTCATCAGCGTTTGATTTGAACAGTATTCAATGGCCAAATAGGAATATCACCGTATTTGTCCAAGTAAGTTTTTTTCCTTTATTTTCCAAGTTTAATTTCCATAAAGTCAATAATGACGACTTTTTCGGGTCGTGTTCTATCATTTTATATGAAAATTACATTAACAATCGTTTTAAATGAATTCCAGTGTATTATGTAGTGCCCTAAAGCCATCACTTACTCCAGATCTAAACGCCATTAATTTGGACAGTAATGCGATCGCACATATTCTGGGTAATCCATTTGAATATTGCAACAATTTAACATCAATTTCGATAGCCAACAATCAGATCGAACGATTGCAATCAGGTATGTTTTCCGTGGAAAAAAGTGTATACATTCAAAACACAGCGGCATTAATGTAAACTGACCTGCTTCATGTCTTCGTACACAGAATTGTTCGAATCGACGGTTGCACTGCAACGCCTGAACATTTCGCGCAATGCACTATCTGAGCTCGACGGAGGCATTTTATCGCGATGTAAGCACATTATTGAGCTTGATCTGAGTCATAACCAGATAACGATATTGAAAGTGCGAGTACTTCCAGGGCACAGCGCAAAGGAAGAAACACATTCGATTGCGTGAGTTTTTTTAATTTTTTCAAATATTTTCAGATTCTCGATGCATCATCATCAATTGAGACGTTAAATGCAGCGGATAATCTATTGTTTGCCATTAGTGACAAGGAATAAAAATTAATATTTACGATTGAGGAGTCTGACATTGTATGGAAATAAAATGACGTAGTCACGGCCAATACATTCTCGTCCTATCCGTCACTGAACTGGTGGCGTTGCAAATTCTGGATTTTCCGTCGACCAATTTGAATGATTTGTCGTATAAAAGAAACAAACGAAGGTTCCAAAATGGAAGAATGCTTCCATGAATCAATTTTTAAGATAAAATGTAACACAATACCATATTAACATAAATAGAATAATATTTTTACAATGAACGAATTGTTATCCTTTTCTTTCATCATTTTATATTCTCAGTGTGGTTATGTTTCAAGCTTCTATTTTACTAAATATCTCTGACAGATACATCAGATGCTACGTTCCAATTCAATAATACAATCGTTCAAATTCGCTAGGTCGCCTGCTCTCATGGAAATGTTCCTTTCATAAAGATACGTTGGTACATTACATATACTATTGACCTTATCATTTATTGTGATTATCAAACATTTAGAAAATTGGATCAAAACGATCGGCAAGATATTTGATTCTAGTCATTGAATATATAGGCTAATTTTTTGGCAAATGGGTTGCCATCAGTATTGTCTACCTTGCAAACACTGATCACATAGATATTTTTGGAGAATAATTTCTGTACCAATTGCTTTTTATTGTTCGGCGCCACAGAGTGCAACACATAGTGTGTATGTGTATATGTATGCTCCTTTCGAGAATAATTATCATTTTGTTTGTTTATTTGTGTGTGTGTAATGTGTATTAAGAACGAATGAAACGAACTAAAATAACTTCATAAAAATGAAATGGAGGACAGTATGCAAATACAGTGGCTTTGATTAACACTTGCCGTTCTTCTAAAAAAAAAACAAAATCAAAAATATATAAAATAAAACTTGCTTTAAATGAGTTTATGGAAATTATCGTGATGATAAAAAATTTAAAATGAATCTTATTCAGATATTCATTTCGTTGGCTGTTGTAAGTGCCGTAATTTGTAACTCAGCTAAGGATAATTCGTGTGATTGTGGTAATTATGAATTGATAATTGAATTTTTTCTCTAGACTTATTTCGACATAAAAACGATTTATTAGCTTCGTAGTACAGATTTGATAGATATTAAATGAAGCAGATAGCATATGAATATTCCAGAACAAAAATTGCTGGAAAAGATGTATTTGTATTGAACTAACGACAAGAAGCTGGCTTCAAAACATTTCGAAAAAAAAAACCAATAAAATGGATTTTGTTTATGAACAAAGAGCCAAAACACAACTGACATAAAGCAAGTTTCGGTTTAAAGCCGGCATTTCGAAGGCCAACTTTTGGTTGCATCGATCCAAATGTGTACCTTTCCATAGATTTGAACTGCGCGCATGCAGAAACTGATGTGGCAATGTCGTAACCATTTTTTTTTTCAGTTTGCGGTCGGGAGAAACAAAGGGTCGACGACAATGATAAACAGCCTGATGAAAATCCGTGGACAGTTGGAGTGTTTTGGGGAGAATCCCGAGAGATTCCCTTCATTTTTATTTGTTCCGGCTCTTTAATTTCAGATAAACACGTCTAGCACGTTCAGGTTCTTGCGCTCGTAAAGTAGTAAGAGTTCACGAAGTATTGCATGATCACGCAGAAGTTCGCATGGGTGCAAATGATGTTGATGACCTCAAATGCAGCATACGACGCAACATTCAACGTATCCATAAACACGAAAATTATCAATATTCTGATGTCGAAAGTTGGATGACCAATGATTTTGATATTGCAATCTTGCAATTAGACAAAGCTGTTACATTTGGACATAATATTCAGCCGATCTGTTTGCCACAATCTTCACGCATTGATTATACTGGAAAGTTAGTCACGGCCATAGGCTTGTGTAAAATTGGTACAATTTCGAAACGTACTTCCAGATCGAAAGCACAACAAGCTCATATACAAATCTGGACCAACGAACAGTGCGGTAAACTACCTGAGTATACAAACAAGTTAACAAATAACATGATGTGCGCCGGAGATTACGAAAATGCAACTCTCAGAGCATATATTCGCAATGTAAGTTGAGTTTGTAAAAGCGAGAAAGAAAACCAACAGAATTCCTTTCATTTTTTACCATATTTATCGTTTCATAGTTCGATTTTGGACAGTTGGTCATTGAAAATGAACACGGCAGCATGGAATTAGTCGGAATATACTCATTGTAAGTTGCAAATTTTCAGTCAAATCGAAAATTTTCGCGAGAAATGAAAACAAAAAAAATAATTTTTTACTTTTAGTGGTCACAGATCCGGTTTGTATCCTGGAACGCCACCAGTTTTTACTCGTGTTGCCAATTTCTTGCCTTGGATTCAAAGTAAAATGACCGATCAATGCATGTGTGCATCAAAAAACATCATACGAAACAACTCTTCGGAGAAGCTTGAGACTTCGAAAAATCAAGAGAAGCTTGAAAATCCAAAAGAACAAACAGACCTTTCTCTTCAACCAGTTAAGAATGGCTCCTGTGCTTGTGGTAATTATTCCTGATTATTATTTTAGTTACAAATTGCACGTAAGTGTGATTGAGATAGCATGAGATTT